GGACTGGGAGGGACTGGGAGGGACTGGGAGGGACTGGAATCAACTGGGAATGGGCTGGGATGGGTTGGGATAAACTGGGAATAAACTGGTTTAAACTGGGATGGGACTGGAAGGAACTGGGACAAACTGGGAATGGGCTGGGACAAACTGGGATGAGATTGGGACAAACTGGGATGGAATTGGTTTAAACTGGGATGAACTGGTTTAAACTGGGATGAACCGGTTTAAACTGGGAGGGAGCCCAAGCGGTGCCTCCATTCCCGTTCCCACTCCAAACCGGGATTTCCCTGCCCCAAACTGGTTTGTACTGGTTCAGACCGGTTCCAACTGGTTTCTACCGGTTCAAACTGGTTTATACTGGTTTATACCGGTTCAAACTGGTTTATACTGGTTCATACTGGTTGTTACTGGTTTCTCCTGGCGGGCAGGGCTGGAGCTGCGAGAGGAGAAGGCGCTGCTGGAGCTGCTGAGCTCGGGGGGGCTCCGGCTGTGCCGGGGGCTGCCCCCCCTGGGCCGCGGCCCCGCCGGGAATGGCTGCCCGCAGCCGGTGCTGTCCGCAGCACCGGCCGGCTCCGGGCGTTCTGGGCCCTTCCCGGCGGCATCAGCACTCCCAGCGGAACATTTCCCGCCTCTTGGTACCGCTGCAGCTTGCAGCAATAGCTTGGCTGATGAGCTAGAGTTGGCAGGAAGAAGCTATTCCTCACTCAGTGACCTCTTTAGAGCAGGGTTTCTACGTAAAGGAGCAGCAGAAAAACAAAGCCTCTTTTCTCAATCCTTTACCACAACACAGGGTGCCAGAGGTGCAAAATGTGGTAGAACAAACCTTCTTATGCTGCCCTTCCAGTGCCCATGTGAGAAGCGTCTCTTGGACCGCTGCTCCAAGTGACAGCTTGAGTGGCAGCTGGGGGAGGATATGCACGGCGAAGTGATGACTGATCGCTGAAATATCTTGCTGAAACGCTGCAAAATCCTTCAACACAAAAGAGATGCTTCTGCAAAATTAGCCCCGAACTGCGAAGCTGTGCCGAGGCACGCGAGGTTGGTCTGCAAATGTGTGGGGCTGGTAGCTCCCTTGGGCCTGGCCAAAACCCATTACAGCCCTGTTGCATAAGGAGTTGCAGAGATACCGTAAGCACTTGTGTGGGGTTTTTTGTATGTCTCTAATTGAAATAAGCGTAGATAAACCAGAAGTAAAGAAAGTAGTCTCTGCACCGGTAAGAAGATTACAGGACTGCTTTAAAAACGATCGGGGTTTCAAAACAGCAAGAACTTCCTGGCACATCTGTGAAGGTTGATACAATAAGTGTCAAAAGGTAGAAGTAGGTTACAGACACTCATTATCTAAATTCTTCAGTATTTCTGTTACTGGAATGTTTTTATTCTTTTTCAAAATCCCATTCTTGGAGAGTGAGTCAGCAAGAAGCCTGTGAATGTGTCAGGGAGCAGTGTTTTAAATAAGGTTTTGCTGCTAAGCAGTTATTAAAGAGCAGGTTTACATATGAAAAAATTACAAATTTGCATATGAACATAACAGCTCAATTTTTTCACTCTAGTGAAAGTTTTCTTCCTAGCTACTGTTTTCAGAATAACATTCTTGATGTGCTAGTGTAGGGATTTTGAGTTTGATTCCTTGGTAATTTGTTTTCTTTGTTCCATTTGATTACCTGGAAGTAGATCAGTTTTTAATTTAAAATTATCGTGATTTCCTCTTCAGAGCCCTACTGAGTACAAAGTGCTTTCTTGCTGGCATGAACACTTCTTACTGTCTTTTTTTCCAAAGAACTCTTTCAAAATATTAAAAGCAATCTAACCACTTTTCCTTGTAATCCTAGCCAAGTGGAACAAGTGCAATGAAACCTTTATGGGAAAATTATATGCCTCTGTAATTATAATGTTTATGAGTCCAAGTTTGCTAAAGTGAAACATAAAAGTGAGACTGCAAACTCATTCTGTTTCTTACTTGGTCATTTAAAGTATGAAAATGTTTTTGAAAAATTAATATTTGAGCACCTTAGGTCTAAACCAGTTTGACATCTTGACAAATAGAAAGGAAATTGGTATAAAGCATTGCTAAAGGCATCACCTTGTTCTTGAGTATTTTCCAGAACAACCTAATATGACTCATAAAACAAATTTGTTGTATTAATTTACTATAATAATACTATAATGACTGTACAGATAATAGAACTACGTTAATGTCAGAGAACCTGAAAAAAGCTTTTAGAAGTGACATCATCCCATCATTCAACGGGAAATAAAGATACCAATTTTAGGGTTAACAAGTACGTCATTGTTGCCCCAAACAGTCTCCTGTAATGCAGACTATTTAAAAGATAACCTCAAGGGCTTTGGTGTGTTCAGGGCAGCAATATATTTTTACAGTTAATTTACAATGACTAAAAGTTCTAGAATGAATCAATGGGAATAAAAACCAGTTACATATTGATTAGAAAAAATTATATCGATCAAGTCGTGGTAATTCCCAATCAAACAGCTCTGAGTGATGATGCTACATTTTGTTTTTTAACAGGTGCTTTATGTAGGCTGTGTCCAAAGCCATCAGAGTGTATGGAAAAGGCAATATGGAGTAGTAAGCAGTGTTCATTATAGTTCTAAATATATCACATTATAAACACTCTGAGTGAAAACATGCCCCATCAATTTAAAGTAACCATTTAAAAACAATGTATTTACAGCAATGTCATTACACCAACAACTGTTAAATGTATGCAGGTCTGCCATCTTATGGAGCCTGAATGGTACTGCCAAATTACAGAATGTGGAGCTACATGATCATATTAGGTGAATAGTTTGAATTTTTCCTTTACAGGTAATGTGTGCTTTCTTCTAAAACTCATGCCATTTGGATGCACTTTCTATTTTATTTGTGTATTTGTGGGATTTATGTGTGCATGCAAGTGTACACATGTAAACTCAATCAAATAATGGTATTACACTGCAAGTTCAAGTATATAAAAGCTGGGAAGAGTTGAAGTTAAAGTTGGTTGTTTACATTATATGACATTCTGGAACAGCATAATCATATGCAATTTTTGGGGGAGCTCTGTCTGATCTGTCTGATCCAGCATCCAGGTATAGACAGTGCTATTTAGTGAGTGGCTGTTCAGAATTTTGCTTTAGCCCTCTTGTTTGGAGTGTGACTGCTGTATTTGCTGCAAGTTAGTCAAGTCTTGTTCTAAAGATGAAATTATTAATTAATTCATCTATGGGCTTTTCTGCAGCTGTTATTATTAGCGTTTAATATGAACAGTTTTGAATTAAGTTTGTACAGACCAAAGCAGATAATCATCATGGCAATTTTCAGCCCAAGTGATTAAATTTTGGCACAGCTATTAAAGTTGCTAAAATGATGCTTGTTTGTTTGTTTTTATTTTCTATTTTTATAAAAGCTGATGTCAGATAAACTTGATAAGTGACTTTTGGGTCAGCCAAGAACAAATGCACAAGAATACAAGAATGTTATAATTAGTATGTCAATATACATCATTATACATCATTATTTTCTCTTTAACTGGTGCAAATTTATTTTTAGGTGAAAAGGATTCTTCAGGAAGACCTTATTACTTTGCTTTTGAAAAGTTTGAGGTCAGTTAGGAAAGCAGTTGATCTAAGTGGTTGTGGTACATCAGATACTGTAGTGGAATACTTAAGCAGATTGTCCAGCATTCAGTGAAGCTTTGCAGAGTTTTACCAGCTGCTGGAAAATCTAGTAGTACAGGCATCCTCCTGTAGCTGACACACCCACCCACAGAAGAACATTTATTGTGCTGGGAACCAGGGGCTGTTAAAGAGACGGTTTCTTTATGGAAAGCCCTACAGACAACAGCTGTGTGCCATATCCTGTCTGTTTTCTTAAACCTGGGCTGTTATACAGTGAGCTTTTTCTATAGTCGCTCCAATTGTTTGACTTAATTCTATCACAGGTTTTATGGCAGGGGGTTATGGCTCTGAGCCTTCTTTCATTGTGGTTCTGGTTTGATCAGTCTCATCATGTGATTATTTCCCTGAATATAAACTTTAACTTGTTTGTTATCCATCCTAGCATACATTCCATGACAACAAAACAGACTGATACAGAGCAGAGGCCCTCAAGATTAATCCATTGGATAGGTGCAGGCGTTTGGTGCAACTGGAAGCATCAAACTTCTGTCCCCAGACTGATGTGCTGGATGTGCCAGAAGATACATGCTTCCACACCAGCCCTCTTATGCCACTTGTCTACCTGTGTCCATGCATCATATACTGAGGTCCCATGTTTTAACTTGCTTCCCTCATCTCCAGAAGAAGCAGCTGGTTTCATTTCCTCATATGGCTACACTCCACCCATGTCACGTTTCTGAACTTGTCTTGGTCCCATAGTATTGGAAAGGTGGCTCTTAGCTAGGTTTCTACAGTGACGGTGCAGAGGCAAGAGCTGCTAACCTGGACAGCAGCAAAACACTGTCCATCAGCTGGCTGGTCTTAGCTGCTGGTCATACACAGCTCCAGGGGTGGAAGAGCTTCCAGGCTCCAGAAACTGCTCTGTGCCAAAGCATACTGGAGATACAGGAAGACTTCACAGTATAAATGGTTAGTGACTGCTTGGAACGACTTCTGCAGTGGCGATTGCTCCACAGCTCGTATATATTCTATTTGTGGCCTTCTTTGCAATTAGAAGAGTGTTAAAAAGACAAAATTAATGGGATATCAATTACAATATCTGTCTTGTCTGAATCAGAGACCACTTTAGTGCTTAAACCCTCCCTGCATTTCTCTGCTTAAAGTGGTCATAAGGTGGCCCCAAATACAAGTGAAAGTAGAAGGTGGATTAAGTTTTTGTGCAGAGCTGCATTTAAAAAAAAATCTAACTGCAGAGATTGAAACATAGTTGAGTTACTATGTTGAGAAAAAAAATCTATAAATTGCTGTCATTATTTGTCTCATTCTTTAAATGGTTGTTACTGATAAAACAAAATGGCAAAAAACATTAACTGAAATTGGCATCCACTCTGCTTTCCTCAGCTCCAAAACAGCAGGGAGATCACAGGAAGCTCACAGGTTGCTATATAGAAAATACTGTTCTGCATCCGACTGGATTTCACTTTGGGTCAGTATCTTCCTACATCTATGGCAAGGTGAGGTTCTTGAATGAAGTACTTGCTGCTGGTAAGAGGAATCGGTCCATCCCCATGAAGGATTGTGTCCTAAACTTTACCAGTAAAAGCTTTTCTTGGCTTTGAAGCATGACTTGTTAAAAGGCTTCCAGAATTATTGTGAACCGCAGCTCCAGGTAGTATTCATGTACATTTTTAGAATTTACTCAGTTCTTGACCTTGGTGGATTTTTGTAGCAATATATTTCACCATGGAATTACTTATTGATTTGGCAAACAGTAATCAAGCACATTCTTCTACAAAAACAATACAAGATTTTATGTACCATTACAAAGGAGGAAACATTACTACTCTCTTGTTTTGTCTGAGAAGCTGACATACAGCAACCTGCCTTCAGCTGGCTGTGACTTTTAGATCAGATTATCTTAAAATGTCATAGTGGGATTCTGGTGTTAATTTGCAGTATCAACATATTTTAGGGTGGATGCTTAGTGTTTTACTGAAACGTAATGTTTTCTGGGTTTTCTAATAATTCAAACCAGCTTTATCTAGTTATTTTCAGCTTTCATAAATATGTGTATTTTTTTTACCCTCATGCATAAATCAATGAATATCATTTTGTCTAACATTTGGTTTACTTCTGTTTAGCAATAGAAGCCTGTACAGATGACTGCAAACCAGAACCCTCAGACCTTGGATTTGTACGTTTGTGCTGATTTCTTGCTTAAGGGAGCTCAGTTCAACATGCTGTACTGCCAGATCCATCCCTGCAGTAATTCTCTTGGCTTCACTGGATGGCCACATGGGATTGCCTGTGCTATCTGGCTAAGAGAAGAGATTCTGTACAATTCCAAAGGGATCTGCTTGACAATATTAAAAAATGAAGTCTGAAAAGCATGCTAACTGTGTTGGGCTTTGGACAGTTCAACTGTTTTGTTCAAAGTAGAGGCCATGAGAGCCACTTTCCATTCAGAGATCACAAGAAACAATTAAAACTTTGATTTACGTAGTGAGAAGTAGAAAATATTGTGCTTACTCTGGGTACTGAATAGGTGCAGACAATAGAAGGGCCAAGGAGCTCAGCTGATTTTCTGACAATTTAGAAATAATTTCAGAACTGAGGAAGTCATTGGGAAGCTGCTGTAATTCTGTCTGTGTGGCATCAGAAATGCTGGAAGGAAGATTTTTAGAATACAGCTGCCTACAAAAGGTCTGGGAACTACAGGCAAATAAATTGTTCCTATTCATGTGGATTTCTTTGCACTCTATAAATCAAGTTGTAATGCCCACTATTCCTAAAAAAACAAGGATCATATAAAATTTCATCAGTTTATTTTCCTAATGGAAAAACCCTTAAAGAAGCAGGAATCTGAGCAACTCTTGGGGCTAAAAGGAATTGACACTTCTACAGAATATAATATTCCACAAGATTGCAACATAGGAACAGGCTAACAGCTTGTTTGGCTTTGTTTGGTATTGCTTATACAGGTCAAGCAAGACATACAGAACTGCAAGTCCTGACACTAATTTGTTTTTATGAAGTTGTGCACCTTATCTGAATGTATGCAAAGTATGAAAATAATAAGTTGTGAATTTTTGATCATCCATTAAAGGCAAATTGTGATGGTGATTACATTAAAATAAAATTACTTGTGCTCACTTGTAAGTTGGCTTGCTTTTCTATGGCAAAAAAAGTTCTCTCCAAATAATCCAAAATGGTAAGCACATTTATGGTGCAATACAATAAAACAGAATAATCAGCTACAAAAATGCTATCCAGAACTAAAATGTACCTCCACACTGAGAGGTGATCATAGTTTGTAGGCAACAGCTGTGCTTCTAAACAGTGTTAGCACTGTAACAACCAAGAAAGAATCGCCTTATAACTTCATCTGAATCCTCAGGGTCATGCAGCTCAATTGGGCTGGAGCTGACCCAAAGATGGAACGCTTCTCAACACCCTACTCCTCCTAATTGTAATGTTTCTCATTTTCTTTTGCAAGCAATACTTTATAGGGTAAATGCCTCACTGGTGGTGTCACTTATGACATTTTGGCATTTTCATTCTGCTCCCATATTTTCTTCCAGAAACTGGCCAGGATTCTTGCTGTTGATGTTTCAATGCTATCTCCCCAGTTGCCTGGGTCAGATATCCAAACCGGATCCATGCATGTGTATCGTATTCACCTGACCTAAAAGGCCTCCCATAATCCTGCCTGCTGGGGATCATTTCCACATGAAGGTGCCTACAGCTGGCCTGAAGCCCAGCTAGGTTTGAGCTGTTCCTGAGGGGAAGCAATGTGGTGTGACTGCAGCTTTCTGTCTGTCATTCCTGGTTCTGGGAACACAGTGAGGAAAACTTCAGCTGTTTTTTCAGAGGCCACTTTGGTTTGGCAGAATTTATGATCTCTGGCTCTGCAGGAAGGTGTGTGTATTGTTTCCAAGCCAGGCACAATCTTGCAATAGATGTTTGTACAGTCATGGGCTTCAGCTAATACCTGTGCTGGAGTAAGGGTGGTTCGTTGTACATTTGTGGCACAGATAATCTGCAGTGAAGATAATCTAATCATAGATAATTGAGGATTGGCTCAATGGGCGTTCCAATCCTTCTCTCAGTTTTGATCTTGCACAGGCTGCTATTTTGCTGCTGTCCAGGCACCACTATCAGCATGAGATATTCCTGCTTCCCTGCTCCTGTTCCCTCTTCTGCCTGTGGTATGCCAGCCATTCTGTTGTGCTAGTAACTGACTGTGCTAGTGATTATCACAATCAATAATTCTTTTTTAACTCCAGTCAGTTCCTTGACTTAGTGCTGACAACTTTTTAATGAGGCTTTGTTAAGAAGTCATGCAAGCAATTGTGTTGGCAAAGCTGAGGGGCACAGGGGTATTAAGAAGGTTTTAAGCTACTACTGCCATTTTTTATCATGAAACAGTAGCCACAGTTCAGCTGTATTTCTGCAATTTTACAAATTTTATTAACTATACCATTGCAAATTAGGAGTAATATCAAATAAACAATGCTTTCACCATCACCAAACATGTTTTGAGAAGGTGAAGTAATTTAAAAAAAAAAAAAGAAAAATTATGGTAGGTAGTTGGAGATTTGAGAGAAGGCTTTTTCTCCTTTGCAAATAAAATAATTTAGGAATGGCATCAATAAATAGAAATATTTGATTTCAGCAGAGGAAAGAAGTGTTATCTTCATTTTAGTTCTGAACCACCACTTAGAAAACCGCAGGGTTACAGAATTACAAATCACACACAGTACTCTGAAAAATTCAATTGCTTCACTGACTAATCTACCACTGTGCACTTCATGGCTTGTTGGGAACGAGAAGTAATAGAGTCTCGGGTTTGCCAGTCATCTTTGTCATCAACTTCAGTGAAGGAAAGGCCACAATTAAAGTTGCTGTGGGGGCTCTCTGCCCCACGGCTGGGCGTGGTGGGGCCAGACATTGCAGATAAATAAATGACTCTTGTCCTTGGAGCTGCCTCTGT